GCGGAGTTATGCCGTAACACACATAAAAAAAATAAAAAAAAAATATATCGTCGAATTGAATACCTCCTTCTTTTGGGAAGTCGGTCAAAAATACATTATCAGCAGATTATATAATAGAGTGAAGATGATCTCTGGCTTATATACTCTGTGTTTTAACTTTTAATAAAGTCCAACTGTGCCAAAATGCATTGAAAACCATTAACATTTACGGGGATACATGTAGTAACAAACATCCATCCATCCAAACTTCAGATTATATTATATTAGCTGTTCGCGTGGGGATTCATCCGCGTGGAATTATAAAAACTTATTTTATTGTTTACATTTGTCAAATTATCAATAGCAAATGTCAAAATGACATGATATGACTAACGTTAGTAATCTTTCTTTCTTGATTTTTGCAGCAACTTATGGTCTCTTTCCCACATTAAGGTTTTAATCCAAAATTTTTACCTCTAAGTTTAATGGCGTGAAAATATATAGCCTAAAGCGTGACACAAATTTAGGGTTATTTTTTTATTAAAAAAAAGAATTATTCAAAAATATGCTGTAATTGCTGACATCGTAGGCAACAAAGAAGTGTGTGTTTACGCTTTATTATAATAGTATAGATCTAGATTAGTGAGTATACGGTATGATTGTGAATATTTTTTATAAAGAAAACAAGTCCCTATGTTTTTTATTCAAAACTATTTTTATTAATATGAGAAAATTTTATACAATTTATCGTCTTTCTATTGATATATAGTGACCAGCAGCTGGTGTCAACAGAACTTCCAATTTAAATTCCAATTTTTTTAAATCCGCATTAATACGACATCTCCGTAGAATATGTGCAAGCGTAGTCTTCATTGATATCATCGAATAAGTCCGTCCTGGAAAGAAAAAAATGTATTTATAAAACACAAGTTTTAAATGAGAAAACATACAGTTTATGTTAGAGTACGCATCTGCAAATACAATGACTGCGGACAAAGTTGCACCAGTGGTGGCGATATTGAGAAGCAAAAAGTTAACGTGGGTAGCAAAATGTGTTTGGCGTAAAACTTGGTAATTCAAAAATTTGTAGAATAAAATTTAAATAAAAGAATGGCTAGAAAGGAAGATGAAGACCGAAGAAAGTATGCATGGATTGTGTGAAAGAGAATATGCCTAAGAAGGGAGTGGATTCAGATATGACCGCTGATAGAAATGTATGGAAGAGCAGCACATACTATGCCGACCCTCGTGGAGACAAGGGCAATTTGATGATGAAGATAAAAATGCTAGTTTGTAACAAAAAGTTAAAATTTACCGAGGCAATTTCTTTTCCCGATACTAAAAGCCATGAATGCGTTGGGGTTGCTAGGCAACGTGCTTCCATCTAGCCACCGTTCCGGCTTAAAGTGCTCCGCGTCGCGGCCCCACATCGGATGCCTGTTAACCGCGTACACGTTGAAGAAACACGGATGACCACCTTTAAGGGTGAAATTTTCTGTAATCGAAGAAAAAAAATATATAAAAACCTATCTGATTGAAACCTATGACAACTCAGCAATTGTTATAACTGTTTGAGTACAGTTCATGATGTAATTTACATATGTACGCGCAAATTAGCAAAACACGCGGAAAATCATTCACAAGTTAAATTGTAAAAACTTCTAAAGCGATAGAAAATGCAATAGTGATTCAAACTAACGCCTTCTAGTTTATATAAACTACTTACTGAGTTTTATATCACGATGTACATAACGTCCTAAAAAAGGCACTATCGGATAAAGTCGCATCGTCTCCTTCAAAACCGCATCCATATAAAATAATTTTGTCAAATCATCTTTTTCCACATCTCTATCAGAACCACCAAATACTTCTTGAAGTCTGAAACAAGTCTTGTAGTTACTTAAATAATAATCTTTCAATTCATTCTTATACGAAGTACGCTTGTTACTCGTCTTGGAGTCTACCCTAAGTGGTGGATAGGATATAGTTCACCAGGCTGACCCACAACAGGTTGGTTTCACATATATTTGAAAGGAAGTGGTAGTGCCCGCTTTAACATATTCGCACGAATGGGACGATTCGCCCGGTGTAATACCAAGACCACATAGAAGACAGGCGTGAAGTGGAAGCAATTCCGCGTTTCGTCTGATAAGTGTGGTACCGGAGGCCTAAATTTAGTCCCTTTTCCTTTCCCCCTTTTCTTTAGAGGAAAGGATGGGAAAGAAAAGTGGATTTGACGGTGGAGGAGACGCATGGGAAGGGAAAATGTCCTCTTTA